CAGATATCTCTAAAACTGGGGTGTACGTACTGATTTAAGAGAGAGAAAGTTGAAGAACTTTTTGGAAGATTTGTGAGTGAAAGAAAGAGTATCCAAAAAGTAGAAATTGGGGGATGGGATGATTGAGCACTCGATGCCACCACACCAACGAGTCGTCGCCGCCGACACTTGTCGGTGCACTTGCTCAACCCACAATTACCATTTTGTCCCTTAATTATACACCTTCTCCAAACTACCCCTCCAGTTTCACACAAATTGCCAACCAAGACCCTGCCGATTTCTTGCAACCGGCGTCTGTATTTTCGAAATTAAATTACTTGAAAAGGGGTACCTTTGTAATATTGACCTTGGAGTTATGGTTCTCTACTCACCGCCGGGGCACCGAGGGAGTACAGCGACCTCTCCATCTCCCTGTCCCTGTCCCTGTCCCTGTAAAAACACATTCAATGCTCTTCTTTCTCTCTCCTTCCTCTCTCTCTCTCTCTCTCTCTCTCTCTCTCTCTCTCCACCACAAAAAATAAATTCTCTTGAACCATCCCGAAATGACACCAATGTCCTCCTCCTCCACTTTAAGTACCCAATCACCCCCCGCGTTAATTCCCTCTCTATGGAAATTACCATACTACCCCTGCGCCGCCCTCTTTCCACAGCTTCTTGTCAGGCACTGGATGTCTTAGGCATTATCGTAAATGTCACGGGTGAGATGTCCTCTTTTTAATTCCTCATTTCAGTACCAGCCCCTGCTGGGGAGACCGGGTACCACCCACATGCAACGGTACCTCTGATTTTTCAACGACTTTTTTTTTTTTTCCTTTTAACAAGTCGAAGCAACGTACATCATATAAAGAGAAATAAATTTTAAGTTTTTTTTAGTAATTATGATCTACTTGATCTTTGTTATTTTAAAACACTTAAACTCTGTAAATAATATATAATATAATCTTAAGCCATCATAACATCTTCTAATTTTAATGGTTTTATGGTTTGATGGGGATGTTCTCCATCAAGATAAGTAAAGCTTCACCTCATAATTCATCAAAAATTGTAATTCAAACGTTCAAAAGCTGTTAAAATCAATCATTTCAGCTTGAGCAATATAGTCGTGAAAAAAAATATGATTTTAAATTTTTAAAATAATATATATTATAAAAAAAAATCATCTCACACTATCCATTTCACCCTAAAAATAAGTATTCACATATTCGAAAGATCCACACGATCTTTTTATTTTCAAAATTTATTGTCAGTATTTGTAATTGATTTTAGGCCATCATAACTATTTCCAATCGTTAAAGTGCTTTTTTCGAATGAGAATTTGAAGTGGGGCTTTATGTTTTTTTTATAAAGCCTAGGCCGTATAGAAACTTTCATCGCCTTAGTTATACGGGATAATTTGGGCTCCATGTATAAACCTCACACTTTTCCTTTTTAAAAGGGAAAAAAAGAAATTTCTAACGGGTTAGAGTTGGACGACTAGGATACACGAGATTTTGGGAGTGAATTGTGCATGGATACAAAAAGAAATACAAAATCATGCAATCAAACAGTTTTGAGTTAAAATTACACACACGGTTTGTCAACCTGAGTTTTTTACTTTTTTTTTATAAAATCTCCACTATACCATCCTCATATTGCATCTTAGATTTTGGTTTTTAAATTTTTTCAATAGTTGTGCTCTAATGTTTGGGGCAGTACCGATCGGTACGATGTTAGCATCATCATACCACCTTCTATAGTGCTCTTCAAAGTAGTTCGGGTTTGGTATCTTCAAACTACAAAGATTGATTTTGTTAAACATTTAGAGGCGATTCATGCTACCCATTCTCGAACAATGTCTAGTGGTGCTCTTCAGAGAGGTCCGAAGTTGGCATCCTCAGAGCGCATTAGCTAACTTGTTTGCTAAGAAATAAGGTGGTCTGAAGATGCCAACCTTGGACTGCCTTCTCGACTGAGTATAACTCCTAACATTGGGGCATTGCCCAACTAAAAAAAAAGCTCAAAAAAAAAAAATAATAAAACGCAGTCTGAAGAAGCTTAGCCCAAAATTAAAAAGCCTAGGATTGAGGGTCAATTACGGGAAAATGGCCTTCCATGTAATCTTCTCCAAAATAAACTATTTTTTATTTTTTATTTTTTATGTTCGTACTAAGTTACTCGTTTTTGGCAAGGACCTGGTTTCTATGTAGCCAAGTCTGCATATGTAGAAAACGGGCCTATCAATAAATATATTTTTTTAGATAGGGTTTTGGACTTAAATTTTAACTACATGTAATTTCTACTATGGACAATATGAATATGAAAAAATAAGTGAATTTTAAAAACTAAAAATAATAATTCAACTAAAAAAAAACATTTGGACAGTTAGTTTCCATTGTTTTTAAATGGAACACCTACTTGCATCCATCTTTTAAGTTGGATGGTTTACAGTTTTGGACGCATATATAGTAATGCATATGAAAAAATAAGTGAATTTTAAAAACTAAAAATAATAATTCTACTAAAAAAAAACATTTGGACAGTTAGTTTCCAATGTTTTTAAATGGAACACCTACTTGCATCCATCTTTTAAGTTGGATGGTTTACAGTTTTGGACCGCATATATAGTGATGCATATGAAAAAAAAAATGAATTTTAAAAACTAAAAATAATAATTCTACTAAAAAAAACATTTGGACAGTTAGTTTCTACTATTTTTAAATGGAACACCTACTTGCATCCATCTTTTAAGTTGGATGGTTTAGAGTTTTGGACCGCATATATAGTGATGCGGTTACTTTTGGCAAGAGTTCTTTTTGTTTGTAATTTTTGCAACCGTCTTTCGTTTCTTCTAATTTGTGCATCGGCTCAAGTTGAGCGGAGCCGAGAAGCTTAGCTGCCAAGCGGCAGTACGGAGGACCGGGCCTTTATGAGACAGCTGGACGTGGCGCCGGCATGTCAACCATCTTGCTTGTCGGCGCCTCTCCCCCTCTTATTTCTCATATCCAATTTCTCGTGTTTTATTTTTGTTTGTTTTAAGCAAGGGATAAAACAAGCGGTGTGTCCAAGAGAAGGCCTTTTGTAACTGTTTCCACGTGCATTTCCTGCTGCGCACGTGCCTACCCAGATTTTGCCCCTTAGCAGAGAGAGAGAGAGAACGTGTAGAGAGAGAAAGTCAAATATTTTTTACGTGAAGGAGAGAGAATACGTTGACAGATAAATGAATTTTATTTCTTGTTTCCTACGTGAATAAGAGTCGACTCTCTAAACCATCAAATTAGAGCACACCTACATGTAGTGTCGCGAAATATGGTTTTAATGCCGGGGAAGTATTTTTTTTTTGATAGATATTTAGTTATAAAATTTAAAGCTTCAAAACTAGTGTAAATCGAGTAGATCTATGAAAATCTTGAAAATTGACGATCCAAAAATGTGTTACAAGATTCAATATTTCTAAAACTTGAAATCCATTTCTTTCTCATGTCAAGGGCTGAATATTACTTGTAATCGGAGGCGTCGTAGCAAAGCCGGTTGGCTGGGCTTGGCTCGGCCTTGAATTTGTACTCGGCTCTGCCAATGCCTAGTTTGGTTCGATCTAGCTCATTATTTATTTTAGCATGTACAGGCCTGGCTCGTTGCTACCATTGTGTAAATAAAAAATGAGCCGATTAAGAGCATCGTTAGAAAGTGCGAATCAGGTCGATAATCGGCTCTTACCCGAGTCGATTGCTCAATCCGAGTATGAGTAACTCGGCCGATTAGTGCCAAGTACTATAGCAACAAGAAAAAGTTAATAATTTATAAAAAAAAATCTAAAAAAAAGGAAATACTTATGTAAAATAAAATTAAGCAAAACATTTCAAAATGATGTAAAAAAAAGTAATAATCAAATAGATTCGGGGTATTTTTGAAATAATCTATAAAATATAAAAATGTAAAAAATAAAATTCATAGCCACAATATTTTTTAATCTATCAAAATGATAAAAATATATATATCTCAGAATTATTATTATTATTATTATTATTCTTTTAAATATCCCCATATTGGATGAACAAATCGGGCTTGACAATGGGCCGAGCCCGAACAATTCGACCGACTTTTCAATCCTTGGTTAAGAGAGAAATAAAAATGGCACCTCGACGCCACCGAATAAAAGGCACGAAATAACGTTTTAGAGAGAGAAGGGTTTTGCATGCGAGTGTTGATTGCGGTTTCGTAGGTCGCACGTGCAAGATCGTCACGTTATGACATGGGATCCATTCCACGTCATAAGAGTCCGTTTCCCAAGGTTGGACATACCACATATCGGTGGGGGCCGCTGCGGATTGATGCTGCAGTCCACGTGAGCGTGG